CTTCTTCTTCTTCTTCTTCTTCTTCTTCTTCTTCTTCTTCTTCTTCTCTCTAGACACTGTCATGTGGCTAGCTACTCCTAGCCATAAGACACTCACTGCCCTCATGAGACTACACAGGCTTTCTTGGAAAGAACTAGCAAAAAAGAGGATTTTCTGGGTCCTGGCCATGCTCCACAGACATTCATCAACTCAGTTGCTTCTCACAGAGGACCAGCCTGAGTAGGATTGTTCTCATTTTAACAATGAGGAGACTGGGCTCAGAGCAGTGAAGTCTATCTCTTCAGGTCACAAAGCTGAGTGGCCCCTGGGCTGTGAAAGCCAACAGTGTTTCTTAAAACACCTTGATGATGAGTTGACACCTGCCTTCCTGGGACTCAGGTTCAAGGAGTTGACTGGTCATCAAAGAGCAAACTGAGCCAGAAACAGAGAGAATCAGAGACTAGCCTACATTTGCACAGCAAGAGAACTGAGGGAGCCAGGACTGGAGGCCAAGGCCCTTATTCCTAGGACAGACTTATTCAACTTTTTCCTGGCATTCTGCCAAGCTAGAGGCTGATCAGAGAGTCAAGCTGCCACATAGGGCTGCAAGCCTCTTAGTCTAGATCAGCACAGTGAAGGCCTTGTCTGTAAGGCTGGTTTATAACTGGACCTAAAGACACCCAACGTGGCTTTGAATCCACATGGGGTTGAAGCTCAGGAGCAGCCCTCAGTCTACAAAAGCACAGCACAGCACTCCCAGAGGGACCTGCACACTGGGGGGAGGGGGCGGGGGTCTTGAGTGTAGCAGGAGATACCATGGGGGATCTCACCTGTTGAGGAATGAAAGAGCTAGAGAAGGTGACAGCCGACCAGAAGAAGATGCCGCAGCTAAGGATCACTTTCCTATTGAAGCGATCGCCCAGGTAGCCGAAGATGGGGGCAGCCACCATGAAGCTGCAGATGAACACTGTGGGAAGAAGAGAGGAGAGCTGGAGGGTGCGCTGGTCCTGGTGAGGGCCAAGAGCAGTGAGGCACAGCTGAACCTGATCCAGACAGAGGAAGCAGCCCCAGGAGGACAATTTTGGCTCACAGAGCAGGCAGGGAGGATGTGCAGGATTAGAGGATGTGGGACTCCTTCTCTTGTATCATCCCAGCTCATTCCATATCCTGTGAGCCTGGGAACTCTCCCTCAAACAGGTGATAGCCCAAGTCTTACCATGTCACCTCCAGGAGCTTCCACCTCATAGACGAAGAGAAAACTCAGAGGAAAGATGACTTGCTAAGGCAAGTCACAGGCTATAAATGTCCCAGTGGAAATGGAAGTTTTGTATGCCTAACCCTAGAACTGAGTCCTTAGGCTTTGCCACTTGTTTTGCTGCTTGCTTTTTGAGACAAGGTTTTCCATAACCCAAGCTGGCCTTAACTTTGCTATGTAGCCAAGGATGACTTTTGTTTTGTTTTGTTTTTTGAGACAGGGTTTCTCTGTGTTGCTTTGGCTGTCCTGAAACTCACTTTGTAGACCAGGCTGGCCTCGAACTCACAGAGATCCGACTGCCTCTGCCTTCCAAGTGCTGGTATTAAAGGCGTGTGCCACCACGTCTGGGTCAAGGATGACTTTGATCTCTGGATCTCACCACTCTCTATCCCCAAGTTATAGGATTAGAGGTGTGCACCACCATGCCTAGTTTATGTGCTGTTGGAGGCCAAACCCAGGGCCTCAGGTACATCAGGCAAGCACTCTACCAACTGAGCTACAGCCCCAGCCCACATCGTTTGGTTGATCTTGAGAAGGTCTCACTATGTAATGTAGCCATGGCTGGCATAGAGCATGCTATGTGGACCAGGCTAGCCTCAAACTCATAGAGTTCCTCCTGCCTCTGCCTCCCAACTGCTGGGATTAAAAGTGTGCATCACTAAGCCTGGCCTTCATTGCTTCATGTATTATACTTGAGAAAGGGGTTAAGAGCAATTATTTCTCTTGTAGAGGACCCAGGTTCAGTCCACAGCATCCATATGGCAGCTCACAACCATCTGTAACTCCAATTCCAGGGATCTGATGTCCTCTTCTGACCTCTGGAGTCATAGAGCACTCATGCAACACTTACACATGCAAAGAAACGTTCATACACATAAAATTCAAAACCTTTAAAAATACTTAAGAGAAAAAGAGATTCAGAGAGGGTGAGAGATCTATCTACCTAAGGTCACTCAGCAAATCAGGACAAACTTGAGCCTAGAACTCTAGGTCTTCCAGTCTGCCAGGTCACTCTGCCACCCTCACTCCCAGTGGGCTGCAGAGGCTATCCTGAACATTAGAAACCCTGCCATTCACTTATTCACTCAAGCATGCATGGATCTTATTCATTCAGCAGCTAGGGGGAGGGACATGTCTTAGTTACTATCCTATTGCTGTGAAGAGACATTGTGGCAAAGGCACATTATAAAAGCAAGCATGTAATCGGGAGCTTCCTTTCAGTGTTAGAGGATGAGGCCCATGAGCATCATAGGGAGCCTGGTGACAGGCAGGCAGGCATGGTGCTGCAGCGGGAGCTGAGACCTTACACCCAAAAGTTGAAGGCAGAGAGGACGTTAACTGGGAGGGTGTAGACTTTTGGAACCTCAAGGTCCACCCCGATGATACACTTCCTCCAAAAAGACCACACCTCCTAATTCTTCCTAAACCGGCTGCCAACTGGGAACCAAGCCCTCAAATCCATAAGCCTGTAAGGTCATCTGCATTCAAGCCACCACACTTGTAAGTTGTCCTGGTCATGGGTTTCTTCACAGCGACTAGTAACTCACACAGGGAACCTAGAACGTACTAACGCTAGGTGTTTGGGATTCATGGGTGAATGAGCACAAGATCCCTGCCTGCGTGGAACTTCTCCTAAGGAAGAAAAACGAAAATAACACAAGAGCAGTAATAACTAACAAGCTTTATAAGATGGTGAGGAATTCTAAGCAGGATCAAAGGGGGGGGGGGACAAGAGATTAGAGAAATGTGTCTGAAGGACCAGGGCCTGGGGAAGGGAGTAGCAAGAAGTGGCTGCTGAGCAGATGGATGAGGGACATGAGCCTGTGCAGACACAGAAAGGTGTCCTGAAACTCAGGGGCCAAGCTCCAGGGAAGACCCTGCAGCCACAGGCAGAAGTAAGAAATTTGGCAAAGGGGTGAAAGAGTTGACTCAGTAGGTAAGAACACTGTCTGCTCTTCCAGAGGACCTGAGTTCAATTCCCAGCAGCCACATGATAGCTCACAACCATCTATAATGGAATTTGATTCCTTCTTCTGGCATGTGTGAAGACAGAACACACACAGATATATATATGAGATAAATAAATCTTAAAAAAAAAAAAAGAAATCTGGCAAAACCAGTCATTCCTTGTGAATGAGATAAGGATGTCGCATTGCCATTCCTGTTTGCATCCCCTGCTGAATGTCTTTTGATGCTGCATAGAGCTAGAATCTAGTGTTGCCTCAGAGAGTATGATGAACATTATAATAAATTCTTATTTAAATAAATGTGTGAAAGAGAAGATTGACATGCAGTATTAAATGGAAGAATGTGAGAAGTTTCACCTCAGGAAAGACCTGCAGGAGGTGAGGAAACATCCATAGAAGTTCTGGGGTGGGAAAGCGGAGCAGGAGCGCACTTAGCGTGTTTGAGGGACGGGAGAGAGGCCAGAGTTTCCACAGCAAAAGGGTGGAGGGGGAGGGGTGGAAGACAAGGCTGAGAGGCCAGACGGGGTAAGCCAGGAGATGCTGGACAAAGAATGAATGACCTGGTTTTGTTCTGCTGGAACAAGAACATGGAAGAATCTTCAGGGACTTCAGGAAAATGTCGCTGTTGGTGATGGAAGGGATCTGGTGTTCCAGGTGAGATAAAGAGGCTCAGGTCAGGCAAGGTAGAGGCCAACCACATGGAAAGGCAGCCCTTGGCAGCCCTCTCTGTCCCAGAGAAAGCAGTCCCACCGCCAGTGGGCAGATGGCCAGGCAACATTGCCTGCTGGGCTCATGTGCTTAGTAGCCCCTGAGGAAATAGTATTCAGGAGGGAGGAGTAATGAAGAGAGGAGGGACGTGTGCAAAGCCGGCTGTGCAGAGCAGCATAACGGGTCCTTCTCTCTGCCGGTTTTGAGAACACAGTATAGGGGATCTGGTAATTCAGGTCTGGGATTTAGGCTTTGGGTACAATCAGTCCATGGGCCTCAGAGACACCCTATCCAGGGTTCAAGCCTAGCTCTGGCCTTCTTAGCTAGGATCCTTCACCAGGTCACAACATCTGTGTCCCAGCTTCATTGGTGTGTTGGTAAATATGTAACAATGGGTTCTCTAAAAACAGGGAGAGAAGGGGCTCCTTTATGACTGGGGATTGTGTATCTCCATAGTGTAAACACTCCCACCCAGCTGAGGCCACCAAAGAGATGTGAATCTTAGACCTCAGTACCAGCACCTTGTCACGTCACAGGAGTTTCCGCCATTCAGATAAAAGGAGTTAACCTTAAGCACAATGATAATAGCCCAGTGTAGGAAAGTAATTAGGAAGTGATGACTTCTGAGCATTTATCAGCTTCTTTTAATACAAATTACTCAGTTGTAAGTTTATATAATTTAGTTCTGAACAATGGCTGTGTCTAACAAGCAGCTCACATCCACTCTCATGAGCCAGCCTCAGCCAGCTCTCTATGCCAACTTCCTGGTCTGTAAAATGAAGATAAAAATAGCTGCTGCTCTGGGTGGCTTGAGTATTGGATGAGGCAGTGCGGGGGAAGGTGCTTCACGCCCTGCCCTCCGAGGCACAGCCTGGGTCAACAAGGCTTTTGTTTACACTAGCCAGGGCTAATATTATTTCCTTACATCTACAGAAAGAATGCTTTCTTGTCAGCCCCGCCTCCCAAGACTGCCCGAGATCAGATCAGGATATGGGCAAGGAAAAGCTTAGTCGCAAAGGGCTTACACATGTTTAGGGGAAGAGGAACAACTGCTTTCTGTATGCCTGTCTGGGCTGGGTGGGGAGTGGGCAAAGAAAATCAGAGTAGGCAATGCCCCTCGTCTCACCAAAGCCCATGAATTGCACAACTCAATGTACTGAAAGCCTGGGGACCAGTAAGGAGCACCAAATCCTGCTGATGTCAGAGTGCGCCATGAAACCTGAGTCCACCACGGTGATGACACTTATTGATGTGTGTACATGTGTGTGTGTGCGTGCATGTATACATATATATATCTAAATTTCAGGTCCTCTAATCATATTGTATAATGGTTGAGGAAGCCTGATGCTTATTGTTAGTAACAGCTGCAGTTGTCACTGGCGGATCACTTATTACCGTCCCTGGATACCCTCTTGGCCTACGTGTTCATTATCTCAGTCGATTCTTGGTTTGAACTTCAGCTTGCAGAGGAGATGACCTGGCTGGAATAGCGATGTCACAGGGCGACTATATATCTGAGCCAGTTAAACCTTAGCTTAGCTGACTCTAAAGTCCTTGCTCCAAATCACATCACTTGATGCTAGACTGGGACGAGATGATCCCCTCAGACGGCCCTGAAGTCAGAGAATGTTCAGGGTGTACTGGAAACGGCAGGAGATGGGTCAGGCTACAGGGTAAGAATGCTGCTGAGGGAGACAGGACCCTAGAGGCCAGGACTGGGCTTGCATTCTGAGCTCTAGCATGCCCTCCCCACCCCTGTGAGGAGGAGCTCTTGGAAAAGCCCCCTCTTGGTGACTAAAGGAACTTGAGGCAGGTACCCAGGCCTTGGCCACATGGCACTGTCTTCACCAGAGCAGCCCTCTGGCTCTCCCACCCCCGGCTTTTTGCCCCTGCAGTGGACGGGAACACCAGGGCTGGATAGGCTTCTGTGAGGAGCCGTGCGCCTGTTTCACCTGCCAGCCCAGCCTGCCATGATCCTGAGCTCCTCCGCTCCATCAGAGAACTTGAGGGCTACTTCTCTGTACCTACCTTATAGCC